TTTTTGGTTTTGGTTTTTCTCCGGTACCAGGAACCGAACTCACGACCTTGCGCTTGCCAGGCAGGCGCTTTTGCCGCTGAGCTAAATCCCCAGCCCCTAGAATAAGCACTTAATAAAAGCTTGCTGACAATGACTAATACACCCGTGCTCATGGTAGTACTCACTGACTGTGTTTGTCACCTTATTCAATAAGTATTTATTGTGCTAGGAAGCTCCTGCCCTCCTAGACCTCACACACCATTAAAGAGAGAGGATGCTGCGTGTCTAGTACACAGAGGGTTGAATGCTAATGTCAACATCATTGGCCAGAAATGAAGGGACCCAGAACCACAAATAAAAGCGTGAATTTTGTGGGAGGGGAGAAGAAGAGAGTAAGAGAGGAGCTGGAAAGCAGGGTTCCCAGAAGACTTGAGGATGGGTCTGCAGGACAAGCTAGATGTCTGTAGGAAGGTGAATGCAGGGACCCTTGGCAGAAGGAACCACATTAAGAATGGCTAGAAAGTACATGACACATTTGGGGCAGGAAGGAGCTCATGGTACACATGGAGGAGTCAGGGATGTAGGGCACAAAGAAAAGCACAGGAAGTGATTCCTGTTGGAACGCCTGCAGACTCCCCAGAGGGAATCTTCACAGTATCCCAGGAAATCACACCAACCTACCCACCCAACAGATGCCTGCAGGGGAGAGCAGGAGGAGCTCTTGCTGTAGGAGGGAAGTAAGACATACCCCTCAGTGTTGTGAGAAACACTACACAAGCAGTTCTCTTCAGACGGCCAACCCAAGCTGGGCATGGCTGTGCACACCTGTAATTCCAGCACTTTGGGAGGGTTGAGGCAGGAGGGTTGCAAGTTTGAGCCCAGCCTGGGCAATTTAGTGAGACTCTGTCTCAAAAAAATTATATATATATAGGCTGGGGATGTAGCTCAGTGTAAAGGCCCTGGGTTCAATCCCCAAAACAGCAACAACAATACTCACAGCAACCCATGGGTTTGGGGTGTACCTCAGTGGTAGGCCACTTGCCTACAATGCACAAGACTGTGAGTTTAGTCCCCAGCACTAACAAAGAAACAAAAGCAAAACCCCCCAGACCTCTCTAGCCAGCAGCTGAGCAGTAGGTTCAGAGTAGGTCCTTGGAGATCAGATCAAGCTCCTCAGATGGAACTTCTCTGATAACAGCAATGTTCAAATGCTTGGCCTCTGGGCACCATCTCTGTGTCCCGCTCTTTTCACTCTAGGAATAAGTGGCTTCACCAGAGACTTGACTTTCTGATGAGAATGGTTTCATATAACTGTATATTGATGGCCAATAGGACTGTGGGCTAGAAAGCTCTTGCAAGTAAGGGTGTAGCTCCCCATCCACAGGACAGCCCCGAAGCAACACTAACAAGGCAAGGCATCCCTCCTCCCTGGTATCCTCAGTGCAGAAGTGAGCAGACTGCCTTCTGCTCCCTGAGCAAAGCGTATAGCCATGGTCTCACAGAGGCTTCCAGGGATGCTTATAGGCAACTGTCACCATTATATTCTACTCATTAGCCAGCAGAGCTATGTGCAGTATTGGCCAAAGTCTGCCTGCAATTCTCTGTTCTATCTCTAAGCCTCAGAACACAGACATGGAGAATTTTCAAAACTTTAGGACTGTGTGGCTTGCTAAAACTGCAACTGGTCAAGAACACATAGCAAAATGCAAAGCTCTATCTATATGATAATTTTTTAATTAGTGAAAATTATTGAGATGCCTGCATTAGTAAAAGGACACTGCCATTTAATAAAAATGATTGAGCCAAGACAGAAGCAAGGTGAGTCCCTGTGGTCACACAGAAACCGAACTCTAGATGAAAATGTCAGGTTTTCTAAATTTATGACTAATATACGTCCAAAGCACAAAAGTTATGAAAGTACAGTGGAAAGTAAATCTTCCTGTCACCCTGGCCACCCAGTTGCTTTTCCCACAATAAACCACAGCTCCAGTTTCTTGTGCCTCATGCCAGAAATAATCTATGCATAAGATATACGTGTGTGTCCACAACTGTGTACACACATATAGCTGGGCACACACACATTTACATCTATGTATTCGTAATACACTGTCATGGTAGCACACTATATCCACAGTTCTGATTTTCTTCATAAACAAAATATCTGCATAATGGCTTTACATCAATGAATAGATAACCTAGTCATTCTTTTTAATGGTTGTGCAGTATTCCATTATTTGTACTGTAATTTATTTAAGACTTGCCTCTGTTTCCAATCCTTTTGTTTTTTTTAAACTGACTCTTTGCTTGTACTGCATATGCAGTACAAATGTATGAGTCTGTCTTCAGGATAAATTCTCAACAGGAATTTGAGGGTAATTTGGGGGTCAGATGACAAACTTAACTAGTATCCTCACAGTGTTCTGCATAGGGAATCTACTTCTGTCATACACTAAATTAGCACAGGCATCTATGTTTGTTTCTCACTTTCTCTTCTGGTCTGTTCTGGGACCTATCCAAGTACCAGTACAGTTTTACTTACTCCTGCTTTATCATATGTTTTTATATATAGAAAGCCACTGCTCTGGCATTACTCATCTTTTCCAGAATTTTTTTCTATTCTTTTTTTTAAAAAGTTCTCATATTTACATTAAAATAATAACATGTATTTAGTGCTTTTTATATGCCAAGCACCAGACTTGGCATTTTAAATGTATCAGTTCATCTAATTATGACAGTATTTCTATGAGACACACACTACTATGATTCTTATTTTTCAGAAGAGGAAACTAAGGCACAGAGAGGTTGTGCAAGATCACCCAGCCACTGACTGATACACTGGACTATAAACTAAGAGTCTGTCCTTTCAACTACGTTGGAATACTAACACTTAACAGTGTAAGATTTATTTTGTTGTTCTCTACTTTTCTGAGATAGATGCTTAATTTATCTGACTTTCAAGATTTGTCATTTATTAGTGTAAATAATTGAAACTTTGGGTTTTCCTTGAGCATTCTTTTAGCTGTATCTCATAAGTTTTGAATATTCTAACTTACCATGCTGTCTACCCTCTGCTGTTAGCAATTTGGATTATGTTAAACTTATAGACTAACATAGGGAGAATTAACATTTTTATGACATGGAGATTTCCCATCCAAGAACATGGTATGCCCTTCAGTGTTTTCACATGCAACAATATATTTATTTATAAGTATTTTATTTTTAAAATTGCCATTCTTCTTCCACTACTATTTCTAACCAGTTATAGGAATATATGAAAATCATAAATGTCTATGTGATACTAGACTTTGCTTAGCATCCTAAGTGAATGTCCTTATTAATTCTAATGGTTTTCAGCTTATTTATTAATTCTAATAATTTTCAGCTTATTTTCTTTGGATTTACCACCTGCTTTTTTTTTTTTTTTTTTTTTGCATCTACTATTGAATAACAGAGATGATAAAAGACATCCTTGTCCCTTTCCTGCTTTTGCTGAGGCTTGAAAATTGGAGATACTTAAATACCATCCACACTGAGGGCTTATAAAACTACAGAAGTTAGAAATTTAAAAAAAAAATTGGGTAGCTGTACATTTATAATCTTTTTAATTTGCCCTATGGGGTGTTTTTTTAAGTTTCTTTGGAGTCAGATGTGGTAGCACAGACAGCTCTACCTTTGCAAACTATTCTCGGACAGCGGCTTACACGCCTCCTGCTTTAATAATATAATTTTCTCTTATAAAAAATAATACATGTTCCTTAAAGAAAATCTGGACTCTAGAAACAGAAAAAGTGAAATGTTTTGTAAGTATCAGAACCACCTGAACTTTGGAGAGTGGCCCACCAGTACCCACTGGGTGTCCACTGCCTCTCTATCCACATCCACCACAGCGACAGTCCCTACCTGGGTCCCTGCCGGGGTCCCCTGAGCCGTTGCTGTTCCTCTCACTCTCCCCGTCTTCCTGGCCATCTGCATTCTGCTGCGTGTGTTGTAGGCTCAACTTGTGGCAGACCTCAAAGGCCTGCCCCACTGTCCGCACGATTCGCATTGCTTGGCTCTGTGGAGGAGCAAGGGAAAAAACCAGTGAAGGACATGCAGACTCTGTAAGAACACACGAAGGGTCAGGTCAGGAGGGGAGGTGCAGCCAGAAACCAGGAAACCAGTAAAGGAACAAGACGGACCGTCCTAAGGTTGTTCAGAGGTGCACACTCACACGGAAGAGTACAAGGACACTGCCTTCCTGAAATACTCCAGAAAATAGGAACTGTCCCCATAATTCAGAAACAATCAACTGGAGGGACAGGGGAAGCTCCACGTTCAAAGCCCTGGCACACAGACAGCCAGCTAGGTCTAAAGGCAGATCCCGCTCCAGATGTACTCCAACACCTCACTCACTTGGGTCTGTTCTCCAGCTGCTACTTCTCTTTCATTCTGCTATTTAACCTCTTTCTTTAGAAGCCCAAGAGGAGATACTTGCCCTGGCCCCAGTATCTCACTGCTTAACCGAAGAGCAGGAGAAAGAACCTGCCCTTGGACAGAATCAGCAGCAGCCCCAGCAGGCCCTGGTGAGCTGGGCAGGCAGGGTTCTCAGGTCACAGTCTCTGGTGTGGGTCCCTGAGTATAATTTGATGATCTGGTCACTTTTTACCTTTTCTCAAAGATGAAACATGATAGAAATGTGAAATATGGAGAGGTTCAGAGCACTGGGAAGGAAGGCTCAGCACCCAATGAGCCTCAAACATCCCTCTACCATGGACTGTTGTTTATTTCACCGTGACTGCCACTCTATAACCATGGCTAACACTCGTCATGTCTTGGAGAGTCTAACTTTAGATGACACTTTACAGTCCAGTGATCGTATTCACAACTCCAAGGTTACACCAGCAGAACAACAGAGCTTCTTACTGGCATGAGATACTTGGTACTGCATTTCCAAATGGACAGCCAGTGTTTCCAAAAGCCTCTGGGGCCTTATTGAGAGTAAGTGTATGATTCATCTATGCTCTTTCCAATACTGAGATTTGCTCACGTTTCCCACTAGTGTCTTCAAGGCTAGGTCAAGCACTTTCCAGCTGCCATCATCTCCCTGAGCCACCAAGCTGAGTTTCTGGTAGGAGGTGGGACCAGGAAGCTCAATTGTCAGGTAGAAAAGAAGATGCATTTCCACCCAGAATAGTTATTCCCATGGGTCTCCTTAGATCTTTGGTTCCTTATTCCCACTATAAGAAAAGAAAGCTGCCTATGACTAATCTTAATCTTTTATAGCAAAGCACATTGCTAGTTTACCAAGCCTTCAATTTGGCTTTCTTCCACCTACCAAGCATATCCAGGAGTCTACTACAGAGAACCTTTCACCCTCCCTTCTCTGACTTTCAAAAATTTTGCCTCTCAGGCATCTTTATAAGAGGCAGAAAAGGTCAATGTTTTGGGTCCTAGAATTACAATATGGTACGTCTAAACAATATCTAGAAATTAAGAGTTTAATTCAATGCTTTTCTTATCTTGTATAAATTAATCCAGATATCTCATTGTGAATCAGTATCTGCAAAATCTGAGTTAGTCATTTCCTATCTGTATCATTCTCAGAGTACAGGCATAGTCTCCCTTTTTAAGATACAGTTATATAGAAATCTCCAAATTCACCACAGTGTGTGTTACTACAAAATCTCAGGTTTTCCTTAGGAAGACTCATCATAAATTCTACCATCTCTGTAAATCACAGACACTTCCCTTGATTAACTTTCAAAATATTAAAACTTTAAAGGTCCATAAACAACAGTCCTTGACCTATGGAATTAGACAGGGGTAGAAATCAGATTTCTATCCTTAGCTTTGGAAGGAAGCATTCAGATTTAAGTAAGAGGACAGAGTTGTGAGAAGTGCCTGTAGACAGGACCTGTGTTTCTCCGGCATCCCAAGATGATAATGGGTGGGGAGCACCTGATATTTTATAGTAAAGCGCACAGTGGTGGATCTGGAGATTTCTGTATAACTGCATCTTAAAAGGGGGAGACTAAGCCTGTACTCTGAGAATGATATGGACAGAACCTCAGAACTCAGTATTTAAAGAACCTAGACTCTGACACCTACATCAAGAATGAGTGTGTGGAAGATATCAACAGATTCAAACAACTATTTATAAGCAGAAATGCTTATAAGGAATGGGCTAGGTTTTAAAATGATGCTTAGTATTCATAATGTTTCATTTTTTAGGATCAGGAAGTGATCCGACTTCTGCCTGATTTCCTTAAAAATGCAGGAAGCACAGACTGTAGATTCACGGACGCTGCTTTTCCCATGTTGGAAAAGGCAGCGGCCTCCTCAGGCTCTGATTTCCTTCTGTCCTCCATTTATGATGGCTGTTCCATGTAATATTTCTCTAATTCCACTGAAAAAGAAATCAGTGGCACCTCTGGAAGCACAGAGGATATCTTCTGCCACATGGAGGATCACATGTGTGACAGCACCGCCCAGGGTGCTCAGCACACCATAAGTGCTCAAAAAATGCTCTGAATATGGAATTCACTGCACCAAAAAGGAAATTGAGGCAGAAAATTAAAGATAGCTCAGAAAAGGATGGGGTTATTTGACCAATAATAAACACTTAAAGATATTAAGAGACTCCCCCTTCCAGATTTATGCTGGCATGGGAAGGGCCTGGCGATCATCTCCCTCCTCCCAGCAGCCCTAGAGGAAAACAGCTGGACGCAACACAGCTTGGGTCTGAGCTAGTATAACGGTCCCTATGTAGGGGGAAATTGTTGAATAAGACCTCTGGATTCACACATTCAGTACCAAATGGCTTCACATCGATTTCTTTTACCTCTCTTTGATGTGAAGGCTATTTCCACTCATAGTAAATGGACTCAATAGTGTGTTTTATGAAGAGCTTGAAGAGGTGGGCTGGTCCATAATCAAGCTATACCTGCTTTACAGCATGACTGCACACACGTATAACAGAAGTGTCTTCCCTGTTGATCAATCTAGGGCTCAGAAGGAGCTGGATGGCTCCTAACGAGATTCATGAACAGCTATGTGAGTTCAGATGCTCCTTGACCTTTCAGGCTCTGCCTCTTTTACTAGAGAAAAGCCTACTTTGAGAGGATTCTCGCTGAGGACCTTGAAGGTGGCCAGGAGGGGAAATCTGCAGTGGGTAAGGGCTGACCCTCTTGCCCTAGTAGCCCAGTTGGCTCCTGCCCACTAGGCCTCTCCTACTTAGGCCACCTGAATATAAGAGGGAGAACTCTGGCAAAGAGAAGCTTTAAAAAGAAATTCTCCCAGAGTTTTCATGAATATCTGTTCCCTAGGACTCCTGGGTTGCATAGAAGCAGTCACTCACATCTCATTCCACACGCGGGCCTCTGGAAATCAAAGTGGGAGTTTAAAATTTGAAAAAAGTCAGGTAAAAAGCAGAGCTAACAACGGAATGTTAGGAAAGCAGCCTTTTCCAGCCCCAATATCTGGCCACTTTCTCCAAGTTGCTAGTTTTTTTTTTTTTCTTTTTAAAGCATCATTGTACTGCAAGGTTTTTGTACAAATCCGGTTTAGTTTTACATAAGCTCCTGAAAGCACTTTGCAACACGGATCAAATCTTCCTGTCCAAAGGCCATTTTCTACTAGCATCGCCCAAACGTGTGGCTTCTTACTATTAAGATTAGCTCAGATATGGCAGCTTTGATGTTTTCAAAGCTAGAGAGGAAAATCTAAGCTCAGAGAGGCTCTCAGCTGCAGACAGAGAGCACTGAAGCTTGGGGAAGCACCAATTATAGTCCATTTCATGAAAACAGGGCTGGAAAGGAGGCTGTCTTAGAGCTTTATGCCACTTACCCTCCCCACACACAGCGCTTCTTTAAACTATCTCCCTCCTTACGTTGACATAATCCCCCTCCCCAATGCCCAGGATACCACACAACTCAGCACAGAATCCAAGTCAAGAAGTCATGGGTATCAACTGGATACCTAGCTGGTGTCAATATCTGACGAACCTGCTACAGAGACCCTGAAAATAACACCCTATTTGTATAGAGAGTGGGCGCTCTACTCAAAAGCAGGCAAAAATCTGTCACGGCAACTTTAGAAAGATGAAAATTAAAAAGATGATGCCTGTGCTTCACTAGTCCATGAAAAAATTATAGTAACTGGGTGTGGTGGCACATGTCTGTACTTTGAGATCCTCAGGAAGCAGAGGCAGGAGGATCACCTGAGCCCAGGAGTTTAAAGCTAGCCTGGGAATCAGTGAGACTTTACCACAAAAAATATATATAAATATTATATATAAATACATATATAATATATAATCTAAGCTAAGCTATCCTGTTGTCGGTTGGTCCTATAAACTTGAGACTTTTAAGTGTGACATACCTGTGAAGGATGATGATCACTAGTTTCATTCCGCAGTTGATTTAGTATGCACTTTAGTACGGTTCTGAATTCCACTATTCTGGGAAAAGCTCTCTGTACTTCACAATTTATGGAAATGATTAAAGGAGTTATCAGACAAGGAAAGTAGAGACTAAAAGCACAAAATGCAAGATGCACTTAAAGATGAAGATCATGATGAGGAAGAAGACAATGATGATAAAAATGAGAAAAAAGAGGAAGAGAAGCTCCTGCTGACAAGGTTCTTTATTGGCTGACCAGCTCTCTGCACTGGTGAGCCCCTTCCCCACATTCTCTGGGCCCTTGAGATTTATCTTCCAAGCACTTCTGAGTTCTAGGGAAATGATTTCCTTCCACGAAGTCAGGATGGCTAAAAGATTTATACTTCTCATCTGCCATAGCAATAAATTACAGTGCCCTTATCTTACACTCAACTACCACAGCATCTTACCCAAAACAACGTCATGTCTCTTTAATGCACTTTTCGCAGGAATCTTAGCAAAAGACTGGCTTAGATTTATGAAATGATTAAAATCTATAGAGTTTGCAATCCTGAAGCATGAAAATATATTTATATTTGGACATCTAAATACAGGAGCATCCAAGATACTAAGCCTCTAAAATGATGAATGGCTTAGGATTTTGTCCAACTGGTTATTTCAGTATTGATTATATACTCTGATGGCCACAATGCCTTGGACCAGAGAATACTGCTAGAACAGGGAAGGTTTAGTTTCAAAGTGAGTACAGATTTCAATGCTAACAGGAAGTAATACATCATAAAATTTTAAATAGGGTTTTGCTTGTATCCTGCTAGTCTATGAAATAGAGTGCCATAGAGAAAAACAGCTGAGTTGTAATCTCAGCACTACCAGCTAGGGGACTGTAGACAAGTTGATTCACCTTCCCAGGTATGGGTTCCATCATCTGTTAAGTGAGAGATTTGGCCAGATGAGCTCAGATACCTATGATTTCTATATTTGTATTTCCCTACCCAAACCCACATGAACACTTGAAGTATAAAAACAGTCTCTTGCCCTAAAGGTACACCCTACCTAGGCTTTGTCTTTTAAATTTCACCAGGCAAGTGACTTACTCTTTAGCACATAACTGACATTATCATTCATAAATCCACTGCAAACTCTAAAGGACAGTTAAACTTCACAGCTGTGACCCCCAATTAGATAGTGAGAGCATTATGGGAGGAAATGACTTCTAACTCAGAGCAACTGAGCTGTGATTGCAGGCAAAATGATTTCAAGGAGCTGTCCGTGAAGATAACAGGAGATTCCTGCTGTTGCTGTTAATCACCAACACTTCACGCAGTGATGTGCTAATAAGCACAGTCACTCTTCATCAAGGCAGACAGCCATATCCTCCTGGGGCTGGGAGAAAATGACAAGAGGGGGACAGGAGAGGTCAAGAGACCAAGCAAGAGGCTCCTCAAGAAGCGAAAGGCCTTGCACAAGGATATTATCATGAGATCCCCCAAGGACATGGAAATGCCCCCATCATTAGGAAGAATCTCCACTGATTGCTCCCACTGAGGAAAAGGTCTGTGGCCAGCCCAAGCAATACTCTGAAGAATGCTGAGATCTCTTCACCTCCATCCTGGCAATCCTGCCCAGTCATACAGAACTGCTCCTCAAAGATCAGATCCCTTCGAAAAAAATATATATGTATATACACAGGCTAGCTGGGATAATTGTACTGCTGGTTTCCACTGTTGAAAGGAACAGTTAATGCTTAATTTTTTTTTCTTCTTTTTAATTTTTGTTTGGACAGGGTTTGCGTGCTTATATCTGGTAATCTGAATGACTAGTTTGAAGACAATGTGCAATGTAACAACCTTTGCTGAATTCCTATCATCTTGTTTAGTGAAATTCTAAAATTTTTTCTAACATGGCTAAATTTTTTTAAATTATTTTTTATTCTCTTTAAAATAAAAAAAAAAAATAAAAAAAGAAGATCAGATCCCTTTACACTCAGCAATCAGCATTCCCAAATGCATCGTATCTTATTTGATGGCTGGGGAAATTCAAGTCCAGAGGCATATGTGACCTCTGACCACCTAAAAATATCCTTGCAAGATTCATTTCCTTGGGGTGTCTGGTCCTTTCCCCCTCACCTCTTAAATATTCCCATGATTAGCCAATTAAAACTCATTTCTAAGCTAACTATTATCTCCCCAAACCAGAAGTATTTTACAACGAAGTATATCATCGTATTTGGAGGCTAACCAGGATGGTGTGCAAGACCTCACAGATGTGTTCCTCACCCCTCCTCAATTCTGCTTCCTGTGCTGAACAATTCATTCCTCTTTTTTGGCTTGGAAACTGGTCCTCCCACCTATGGTTGGGCGGCAACAGAGCTTGCAGCCAGGCTGTCTGGAAACAATTCCCTGGACTGCATGGCCTCAGGCCAGCACCAGGCCTGGGAACCAGCTCTTGAGGAACTACAGTCTCAGTAGGTAAGGGTAAAAGGAATACAGAAAAGAGAAGAACCAGACATTAGAGGTAGTTGAGAGCTCTTAGGTGTGAAAAAAAATCTGATATGATAGGAAACAAGATGGTTACTCCTTTACAGCAGGCAACAGGAACTTGATTCTGGGCTTCCCTTCAAGGTCAAACATCTAGGTGGGCATTGACTGTTTTTAGATTGTTGTTTTTGGCAGAACAGAGGGTTCCACTGGGCCGGATGATGGCTACATTATATCCAATGGCAAAATTAATACAGTGCTTTCCTCTACCTAGGTTTCTTCCTCAAAATTCTTTTGTTCTACGTGTCTCCCTGGATCCAGCCAATTCCTCTTCATGGGAACTTGGCAAGTCATTCATCTCTTCGAGCTTCAATCTACTCATCTGTACAACCAGAGGTGAAAATTACCTGTCTTACCTTCTTTATGTATGTATTATAAAGATAAAATTAATTAACTATTTAAGTCCATGGTAAATGATTATGTGTTATTTGTGACTAGCAAGTTCTACAGTTTACATGGTCTAGTCTACATACAAAACCAAAGTCAAAGCCGGGTGTGCTCATGAATGCCTGTAATCCCAGCACTCAGGAAGCTGAGGCAGGAGGATTGCCATGAGTTGGAGACCAGCCTGAACTACACAGCAAGACCTTGTCTTACAAAAAAAAAAAAAAAGACAATAAAGTCCAAAGGAGAGTCAAGGACTCAATGAATTAAGAAAATTTTAGTCTTTGGTTGCATTGTCAAAGAACATTACATATGATCCAATTTATAAGTTGCAGAATCACTTTATATGTCCTTTTCTCTCCTCCCCAAGTCTCCTACACCTCAAAGCCATATATGAGCCTTTCACTCCCCTAAGGCCTAAATTCTGGCATCTCCAGTTCCATTCCGCTGGCTCTTCTTTCTCTTTCTCACCTGATTTGCATTTCTATCAGTATAATATTCAGCTCAACCTGGCCTCATGTTTATTTTATTTTATTTTATTTTATTTTATTTTATTTTATTTTATTTTTTGGTATCAGGAATCAAACTCAGGACCTTACACTTGCCAGGCAGGCACCTGTACTGCTGAGCTATATCCCCCAGCCCTGCCCTCACATATTTTTCTCTCAATTGTACTATTATCTAGATGTGAAGTGTGGCAACTTACCCATTCTTTCCTCTCATCTTTCCAGTTCTAGAATTTTCCATCCAATTCCAAGATTTGCATTTAAAAAGCCTGAAGGCTAGGGATATAGGTCAGTAGTAGACCACTTGTCTAGAGCATATATGAGGCCCTAGGTTCAATCCCCACCACCACCACAAATAAATAAAAATAATTAAAATAAAAAGTCTGAAAACAGGATGGTAAGGACACAAATATCTTCAAAGGAAGAGATATAATTCTCTGTGGAATTAAAGTGGGGACTGTGACACACATACAACTGGGTTTATGATGGTTCTAACTGATAATTTTTTTGATGGTATCCAAGCTATATGCATTCAGTGGAAATTGTATTTTTAATTTTTGTCTCTTCCCAGGCTAGGGATGGTGGTACCATACTCTCAACATGATGGACAGCAGTCACAAGCCACAGCCCCCAGTCAGCCACACGGTCAGAGGGGAAACAACTGACACATACAGTGTACTGCTTTGCTAAACTCTGATGTTCCAAAGGCTGTGTATATGATTAAAAGCATTTTCAATTAAGGATGGGTTTATTGGGACATAATCCTACCATAAATCAAGGAACATCTGTATTAGTAAATCTTGACCCTGTCATGCATTATTCTTATTATCCTTACTTCACAATGACAAAGTACCTATAAATTTATTAAAGATGCCTTAAGGTATAAGACATCACATAGGATCAAAGGAGGGGGTTAGAGAGGAAGCGGGTTCAAGGTCCCGTAGAAAGTTGACTTCGTAGTTTAGGCATAAACACAATGCTTTCTAAAATCTCTTTTGTGGAAAAACTGTTCTCAGGATACTAACACATATTACATGTGAAAAATATGGTCCCAAGGTCAAATCAGTTTGAAACACCAAGTTAAACAAAGACAATAGGGTTTCTATATCTCCAGCACTTCTCGGCAACTGCAATAGCGTAGTTTTAACATGAATCATTTTGGATAATAAAAATTTTTACAGAATACACCTTAGGAGATGCTGGTTCTGATTATCCTCCTCATTATATACAAAGAAGCTGAGACTCTTAGTGGAGTAGTTACCTGCCTAACAGTCAGTGTTCCAGTGGAGAGATGGGGCTAAATTCTAGATGTTTTGACCCCCCAGGGAGGTATCCCAAATGCCAGGTACTTGTGTTAGTCTCCTGAAGGAATGATATAGAAGTAAAAGTTGCATTTACTCAAGTATCAAGGTTGCCATAACAAAACAATTAGCCAAGAAAACCAATCTCACAACCTAAATCTAAACCAGATTCCAAATGTCATGATTTGAAGTCCACTGATGAATACCTAGGATTATGATGAAGAGGATCACCCCTGATCACCCCTTAGTATCACCCCCAGGGCTATCTGCCTGCTTCTATCCCAGGGCACTTGGCCATTGGCTGATCCCTCTGCATTTGTCCATGTACAACTAAGTACAAATCTCAGACAGAACTAAGAGAACATCCTTACATAGGAGCAATGACAGATTATTCAGATAGTTGCCCGTGTCTGATGTTAAAACAGCCACCTCCAAATCTTCAACAGGGTCAAAGTTGGGGGTGCACTGAGTCCATCAGAGGAAAACATCAGATGACTGATGACTGTCCATTTACCTTTTTCTTGGACTTAAAGACATTACACCTGAAGATATTGCTGGCACCATCTCGAGCGATATAGCTGAAGATCTTCAAATCTTGGGAATCATGAGAGACGTAGAAGATCCTGGGGGAAAACAACAAAAAAATGCACTGAAAATAGCAAACCACATCTCTTACAGGAAACCTCTGATTAAGGACACTCAGAGGGCAGAGCTCACTATAGAAAAGTTATCAAAGGAAATCTTCTTCCTAGGGGATCAAAAAGCCACAGGACAGGACAAACATGGATTTCAGCACAAACATGGATTTTCCTGAGGGATTTCCACGTTTGGAGAAGTAAACCTGGGTAGGACAAAGAAGCCATGCTATTAGCAGCCATCTCCTGAGCTGGCCTCCCACCTGGTACCTTTGTTTCAGAAGGAAAAATCATTCCCTTCTTTATAAGAGCATTAAATCTGTATATAACACAGGGAAATATATACAAGTTTTCTGACACCTGTTCACAATTATCCCCAAATGAAGGGACTTGGGGAACCAGCAATGCTTACCATGTAGGGGAAATGAGGATACTCCTTTACATTATCATAGGTCCCTTGGTGATAGTAACTTCACTTCCTATCCTCCTGGGCCAGGACCATGGCTTCCATATATTCATTCTATAAACCAACTGGTGCTCCAAATGCACTGTGGACCTGGTACAATCTCAGCAGCTGGGGAGGCAGTGGGAGCAAAAGGAACAAGGTGCCGGAGCTTGTGGAGCTTATATGTGGCTATCAATAAACAAGCGCTACGAAGAAAAATCAGGCCAGATAAGGAACAGTGCATGATGGGGCTGCTATTTTAGACGGAGTGGCCAGAAGGTTTCAGAGAAATGCAGAGACCTGGATGCTGTGAGGGACCCTGTCACAGAGATCTCTGGGCAAAAAGCATTGTAAGATATGAGAAGAGAAAGATTACAAGCCCTGTGGTATGCAAAAAAGCCTGGCTTCCCTAAGATGAAAGAATCACTCGGGCTGTTTAGGGGTCTGAGGAAGTAGGGACGAGAGCAGAGATGGCAGGAAGAGAGGAAGATTACAAACAAAGCCCTAGTGCTGAATCTTAAGTGGACCTAAACCATCAGAGCCACCAGCTCTGACTGCCACGGGCACAAGCAAGGAAGGGTGGCGTAGGGGATGTGCCAAGGGTATGTATGAGTTTTGGGTGATTCAGAGAGAGTATTGCTCTTGACGAACACCCCTGGGGACACGCTCTTTCCATAACACACTGTCCCCTCAAGAGCAACACTGGTAACTTTCATTCAAGGACTTTATAAGCCTGGTTTTGTTGTCATCTTCTAAAAAATAAGTCAGTGTTGTGTAGGGGAAAGAGACTTGGATTTAGAGTTTACAGCTTTATAGCCTTGCTACTTACTGCCAGGCAAGCTTTATAACCTTTCAGAGACTCACCTGTATTGCCTGTCAAATGGGACTCTTAACAGAAGCATCTTGCAGGGCTATTGAGAAAAAAGGCATGGTAAAGTGCGATTTTGCTGATGAAGCCTTTAAACAGTCTCCCCAGAATCTTGGGAGGGACATTCAGAAGAAAATTGGCCCAGAGAGTAGAACAACACTAGGGAGAAGTCCAGCTTCACCTTGGGGACCACAGTTTCTCTCCTAAGCTCTGCTAGAAGTCATTTCAGTACTTCTCCCATGCCTACTACCTCTCAATGACCCTGAAATAGATACTAGGCAGCTAATTTAAGGTTATCAGGCTCAAAGAAGTGCTCAGCCTTCTGATAATGCCAAACTTTCTTCCTATGAGAGGGATGAACCAGCAACTGTACCTCAACACCGCCTGCCTGAACTCTGGGACCATCCAGGCCCCCCTCCTGAACATCCCCTCCGGAATGGCTCTTGTGCTTCTCAGATTCACCAGGCCCCCATCTGAATTAACCATTGTCCCCTGAGTTCTTCAAGCAAACATGGTCTTCCTTCTCCCAAGCCCCATCTTGATGCAAGGACACTCGATCTATTCAAGCTAGAAACCGAGGTGACATCCTTGGATCCCTCCTCCACTGTTCCCTGATACTCATCGCTCACGCCTGGGATCCTGCAGGGCACCTCCCTGATACACCTCAGGGATGTACTTTTCTCTTCAACTATGGGATGCTGCCTCAGTTCTCATTTTTCGTCTGGATTCCTACAACTCCTCTACCTGGTGTACTTCTCTGCTTCCTGGCTCACTGATGGCCAATCCATTCCCTGTATTGCTAGCGAAGCAGTATTTTCAAAAACATACATTATATCCAATCTCTTTGCCCCCAAAACCATCCAAAGGCTTCCTACCACCTTCAGGATGAAGTCCAAACGCCTCTCTGCTCTGACCTCTCTCCAGAGTCCTGATCTGTTCATGCCTGCGGGACTAGCTGCATACACCTTCCAGTCTGCAACCGCTATGAACAAATGCCCTTGGCGTCCTTTAAGACTTGGCTGAGGGAAGCACGAACTGCTGCAGCCCCTGGGCTCACCTGTGCCACAGAGTGTATCTCACACAATGATGTTTACACAAGAGCTCCTTGAAGGAAGAATTACCCCACCTTGGCTCCCCCAGTACCAACACAGCGATTGGCACATGGGAGGTTCCCAATGCCTTCTCAGGAGGAGGGGGAGTCATTCCCACTGTTGCTAATTAGCACCCATAATATAATCTGCCAGGCTATTTACTTTCCACACGGGAAGTCAGCTCGAGTTAATTCAGATGCATCACACATAAAACTCTTTGATTTTGGGTTTTTAATTTATTATGTAATACCCTAAGGACCAAGAACTGGGTTGAAAACTGATGCACAGCAGAGATGAATGTGAACTGGCATCTCAACCAGACCCAGAGCTGTGGAAGGCACATAGGGACAGCAGCAAGCTAAGGTGAACTTAATTTTAATAGACAAAGCCCTTTTTCAGAAAGTCTGATGACAACCTGTGTGTGGATGTGGCCATTCTCTCTGGAGACTGCTCTGAGTTCAGAAACATCATGTGCTGTTATAAAAAGTAAATAACCTCTAGCTAACCAAAAAGTCTCCTAGTTAGAGCCCTGAAAAGTTTCCACCAACACAACCAAGAAGCAGAAAGTTTTTCCATATGACCTCATTCATCAACAAACTCATAAATCAGCAAATTAAAGACTCAGGTCCAAATTCCCAGGTCTAGAAATATATTCCAAGAACAGTCATTCTCCACTATTCACTTGTTTTAAGAAGTGTGAATGAGGGGGTTGTCAGAACCAGGAGGGCAGAGGGGTGTGTTTCAGGAAATAGGAAAGATATGCCTTTCCCCTCCCCTCTTTGTCTTTAACCTTAAGACTAGTGTGTTTCTGAGCCTGCTCCCCAACAATGTATCGGTCAATCTCCACTTTCACCATAATTATCAAGGACAGGATACCACAGTAGCTCACAAATGTCAATAACAATTCCTCAGCTTTTGTAAGGCTTTATTCTTTCTTCAAATTTCCGAAGATCTCCTGCTTTTACTTCAAACTATGCACAGAATTATAATTTTCAGTTATTGATGGAACTGTTATGCTTTAAGGGCATAGCAATAAACTTCTGCAGATTCTTCAGTCTATAAACTTACTAAACTTTCGAAGAGAATGAAATATAAGCAGTATTGGAGAAAAACTAGATTTGGGTTTATCATCATATTTCAGGTTGACAAAGTGATAAAGAATCTCTAGGCTCAGCACCAATACCTTCTCTTCCAGACTATTAATCCACAGGTCAACTTATTTCTTGTAGCATCTTAGAAAAAAAAATAGAGTTTAGGATAGAAAGAGATCTGTGAGGTCACCAGACCTAGAACCCTATATCCCTGTAGGTCAGAATTTATCAGGGATAGCAATTCACTTCCCTGCGAGAATCCGTTCTTTTTTTTTTTTGGAACTTCTAACTACTTGGAAAGTGTTGCCAATGTTGATTGGATCTACCCAAGGAAATGGAGGGAAAGAAAATGGTTAGGAACATTGGCCCCAGTGGGGAGGAAGATAAACTCGGATTTCAGCTCAGGGTCTGCCACTTATGAGCTGGGAGAATCCAGTCATTATTTTGGTCTTTTCCTTGTGCTTTACGTATGAAATGGGATTTAAAGGATGTATGTAGAGGGATTAGCTGACAGCAAATGGTTAATAAATGGTAACTGCTCTTACTGTCTCACACTGCTGTCCTGGTTCTATCCTCTACAGCCTTAGATACTAAGCTAAGGCTTCTTCCAAATACATGGCAATGATCTATTTGGAAACAACCACCATGTTTATACCTACTCACTCCTTTCATTTTGAAAAGACGAATGCCTCCTTTTCCTTTACAGTTCCTCAACTACACCATTTTCTAGCCTGGTTATTGCTCTGACATGTATGTACTGCGGAAAGAACATGAGTTTGGGAAGAGAAAGATCCAGGTTCAAATCTTAGCTTTGCTACCTCCAGCTGCTGGCCTTAGGCAAGCCACTGAACTGTTATAACCCTTTACGTCCTCTTCTAAAATAGGCACAGCAATACCCTCTTCACAGTGTGAAGTATTAACACCCACACACACCACATTTAGCACAATGCCCCCACACAGTGAGTTCCTTGCTCGGTAAATACGAGTTCCATCTTCCTTGTTAACCTTCTTTTGTACATATACCAACAACTCCTTTAAAATGCAGTTCAGAGAACTGAATGCGCTCTCATAAAAGGATCTGAAGAACAGAGGGAGTATATTTAGATAAACATTTTCTACACCCGAGAACCAAATTTTTTTTTTTTGTTTGTTTTTTTGGTTTTTTTTGGTTTTTCTCCGGTACTGGGAACCGAACTCACGACCTTGCGCTTGCCAGGCAGGCGCTTTGCCGCTGAGCTAAATCCCCAGCCCCTCCGAGAACCAAATTTTTAGCAAAGCATCTTGAAGCTTACTTTTTTTCATTAGTTACAGCATTTCATTGCTGGTTGGCAATGTGGTCAACTCAAATGCCGAAAGCTAATTTGCATACTTGTTTCAAGGCAGACTTGCTGAGCACACCGGGGTACCGGGACTGGCTCCTTGTGATGACCTTTTTCTTTTCTAAGTGCTCACAGATATGAGGGTAATGATGTCTTCCAGAATTTTGTCCCTTT